GCGTTAAACCCATACCATTTCACATTTCACATTTCACACACTACAACTAAGTATTTAACAAACGAGTCTTGAGCAATCTGTAAAGCCATTAGGGTTTATTATTTGGTTGCTTTTAAGCACAAGGGAGCTATCCCGAAAAAATGCTGTTTTGAGAAAATCGAAGGTAAAGTTTTTGGACTCTTCTTCAGTTTCTTTAAAAGACAAGGAGAGTTTTCTCTACAACCAAACAAATATACACACCAATGAAACCAAACTTCTCCAATAGGTAGGGTAATGCCCCCTTTTGGTGTAGGTCAAGATTTCTGAAAACCCCCGAAATCTGGGATAGCCCCCTTGTGCTTAACCCTACTCGTACGTCGTGTTTTACTATCGTATCCATACGACGTCGGGAACTCTGTGCTACCACTTTCCAAAGAGGAAATTTACTCGTTAATCCAATCTGCAGACTTTGCGTAGCAGTCTGTCAAAATGATTTTTGGAGAAATACTGAAAGTTTCAAAGAGGTCTTCGTACTGGAAGTATTCTAAAATGGGAAGAATACAACTCTGGGGTACAAAATAACCCCAGAGCGTACACATAGGGTTAAAAGCGACCATTAATTTTTTGGGGTCCTGGGGCAAGGAGTTTCAAAAGCTGTCTATTTCCTATTTCGGCAACCTCACCCCCCCCCCTATTGTCTTTAGAAACAGTTTCATACTGTAAGGTGTACAGTGTGTGTGTGTGGCTTTGAGTACTCATGGCTGAGTTCTGGTAGGAAAGATCTACAACAAGCCTTCTCGGACAAGGCCGAAACATCTCGGAGGGCCTGAGTGCAAGTTGCACACGTTAGAGATCCCTTGGTGGTCTAAAATTGATAAGAGTAGGCTTCGGCCGCCACCCGGGCAAAATAAAAAAATTCCTACAGAAAAAGTTTAGTGTGTCCCGCGCGCTCATTAGAATTTGACCTTATGCAGGTGCGAGCGCGAAACACTTACCCTCCCCCCCACCCCCACAAAAAAAGACCCCGTGAAACACTTACCCAAAAAATCCCCAAACAACCTTTGCCCCCAGGTGTCCGGTCTGTCAAGGGTCATCTCCAACAACCTGTCCTTCCTACAGTCCATCCCGACCTGGGGGGCCGCCATTTTGGTATCTGCGATGACGTCATTGGCCACTGAAGTGACGAGCAACTCGGTCATCTGTATACTGGTGCTGCATCCTGGGCGAAATAGTGCGTGCTGGATAGATGGATGGATGGATGGATAGATAGATAGATGGATGGATGGATAGATAGATGGATGGATGGATAGATGGATGAATGGATGGATGGATGGATGGATGGATGGATGGATGGATGGATGGATGGATGGATGGATTGATGGATGGATGGATAGATGGATGGATAGATAGATAGATAGAAGATAAATGGATGGATGGATGGATGGATGGATGGATGGATGGATGGATAGATAGATAGATAGATAGATAGATAGATAGATAGATAGATAGATAGATAAATAGATGAATGGATGGATGGATAGATAGATAGATGGATGGATAGATAGATAGATAGATAGATAGATAGATAGATAGATAGATAGATAGATGGATGGATGGATAGACAGATGGATGGATGGATAGATAGATATATGGATGGATGGATGGATGGATGGATGGATGGATGGATGGATGGATAGATAGATAGATAAATAGATGATTGATTGGTTAGGAGGAGGTTAAAAGAGTTCAATAGTTTTATTGTTAATTAATGCTCTGTCCTACTCTGCCGTGCCAAGGCAGACGGACGTATCTGCAAAAATGATAAATTCTCGCATCTTCGCTTAAATGGACGCCTATTATACCCATTCTGCATCTTGTGTCAAAGGCAGGAAGACGTATCTGCACTACAAATAGGAGATTTCACTAGGGAAAACAGACGCAACTGAAGGGCCATGCCCATATTTCCAATGGCAGCGTGACGTAACTCAAAATCATAAAAAGTGTAGATACGTCGCTCTGTCTTGACACGGCAGTTAACTGTTCCCTGTTCACCCCCACCTCCACCACCCCCTCCCTCTCCCAGGCCACAGGCGGATAACTTTAGAACGACAGCTGTACGCCATTGGCCGATATTTATAGCAACAATCATCTTGTTTGACGTCATTGAGGGATTCCCACTTCGTTGGCGTTCACGGTGGCTACACAACCGCAAAGCACTATTACAGTATTTTTAAAGCTTGTAGCCTACAGTAGCGTGGTGGCGGAGTGGTTAGTGCGCTTGTCTCTAAAGCAGAAAGTCCAGGTTCGAGCCTAGGTTCGGCCTCGGATTTTTTTTTCGCCCACCCACCTCTACTTCTAATGGGTACCTGACTTCGAGTTGGGAAGTAAAGCGACGTCAAACAAGATGGTTGTTACTATAAATATCGGCCAATGGCGTACGTCTGTCGTTCTAAAGTTATCCGCATGTTCCCAGGCCATCGACATAATCATATTTCCAATGGCAACGCGGCGTAACTCAAAATCATAAAAAATGCAGATCTATACGTTGCTCTGCCTTGGTACGGCCACGCAGTTAACTGTTCCCTGCTCACCCCTACCCCCACCTCTCTCTCTTTCTCTCTCTCGCTCTCTCTCGCT